AATAGCGGATTAGATCGGCGAGTATCGTAGAGAGATAGATAACGCCGCGCTCGACCTATAACAACCGCGGCTAGAGGAAAACGGTACTAATCTAACGCAGACGCTAGAAGGCTTTATAATTCTCGCTATAGTAGAAGGTAATATTCGATAGATCTTTCGTAGGGCGCTATAGCTTATTTCTACTAACGGCAGCTTAAGTACTAGCGAGATTTAGACGGTCTTAAGCTATACCGCCGAGGATAGGTATATACGGCCTTTCCTAATATTTACCGAGGACGGATCCGATATAGAGCTATACTACGTATTAACGGACGCTGGCCGATAACTGTTACAACGACGCGTACCGTTATTCCTAGGTCGTAGTCGTATTAACGGGACGCTAATAGCAAGCTTAGTACTATTACCCCTAGCGGATAAGGCAGACGAGTCCGATTAGGAATCGCTCGATATAATAGCTCGGCCGCAATCGTAGGGAACGCCGGGCAGTAAGTTTAGTACGGCGTAGCGTTAGACTATCGCTAACCTATCGATAGTGCTTCCGAATCTAGACTATCTGCTCTCCGATATTAGACGGTTTTTATTTCTAAAATATTGCGTACCGGCGGTTATCGTAGCGGTTAATCTAGACTACGTTTTTGATAGGAAGTCGTTTATATAGGCGGTTATAGCGCTTACTACGAAGAAGAAATAGTTAACAGAATTAGCGAAAGTATTACTAGGCGAGGGCCGATAGACAGGTCGAGCACTCTATAAGGCTATAGCCGACTATTTTATTAACAACGGCGACCCTCCGCTATACTATTTAGGTAAATAGGAGTTTGTTTAGAAAGGCAAAGCGTTAGAGGTTAGGATTCCGGAGGCCGAGAAGCTATAGGACGCCGTGCCTAGCTTCTTTGCCCTCTACCGTAACGCCGCGGCCTACGCGTCTAGTAGCCCGGTTAACGGTACGGAAAGCGGCCCGACTAATCCCGTTAGCGCGCAGCCTCTTTATACGCCTTCGGCTTTAGAATCGGCACTACTATTAATAATACCCGCAAACCGACTAGCTTCGCTAAAATTACTATCTTTACTAGCGTATACCCTTCCTAATTTACCGCTATTATAGGTACTAGCCTCCCTAACGTAGGCGCCGAGTAACGGCTCGCCGCAAGCGCCCGTACTAGCTCCCTCTAAGCTACTTACTACTCCGATCGAGTCGGTATATAAAGAATACCTAGACCCTTCCTCTAAAGAACTCTAGTTCGAGCGACGGCGGCTCCGAGGGTAGCGTACGCGACAGACTTTAATTAATAAGCGTCTTCTTCGTACTAACGAGATACCCGAATAAGCGGCAATCCGGTAGTATATAGAATACGAGGACTATAATAAGAAAGTCGATATACTAATCGCTACTAATCCTATAGAGCGTAATAAGGCTAAAGATATACGCTTTATCTAGGCCGCGAAACTCGTATATAACGTATACGCCGAGAACGTAGACGGTCGACTGCCTAACCTCTTTCGCCTACGCCTACGTAAGCGACTCGTCGAATACTATCTAGTAAGGCTTTAGCATTACCTATACTATCTATACCTTACTACGGGCGATCGGCGCTTCTAGATTCTACGCGAATTGCATTAGTATATAAGTAAGCTAGTTACCGATTTTAAAAACCTACTCTTTACGTAACTGTGCTCCTTCCGAATCGTAAACAACGATTACGCCCGTAAATACTCTATCTTTAGGACCGACCTCTACTCGGACGGTTACGATACGTAGTAGGAGATTTACGCGATACGCTTTAGCGAGTACGTAGCGCTTATAACTATAGGCGAATTAAAGGAGCTTCCTAACCTAGCTAACCTCGATACGAATTTTCTACTAACTATTACTTTCTACTACGCGAAGTTATAGTACCGACTCCTAGCAAACATCTCCCGCTTATACGAGAACTTCCTTAGCTTAAGCACTTATACCGGCGACCTACGATTCTAGCTAGTACTGTCTCTAATCTGTAATAGAGCCGTCGGTCTTATAGTACGCGCTATCTTATACTTCCTATAAACGGTCGACCTCGTATAAGAGTAGTTCTACCGCTTCGTCCTAAAAGAATATCGCAATAGCATTATAGTAGGCAGTTACCTAGTCCTATATAAGCGTAGCGAGAACGGTAAGGACGTATCCTACCGTAACTACGGTAAGGAATACTAGAAGACGGGCAAGCGACCTATTAGCGAATACGTCGGAGCGACGAAGCATTATAAGATCGACCTAACTACCTACGGCGAAGTCTAATTCTTATAGATAGTAGCTACCGGACGACTCTCGATAGTGCGCCTACCTCTACTAGACTCCTAGCTTAAGGACTATACAGTTTAGCTACTACTAATCGGTATAGAACTTAGTGCCTAGTCGGCTATATAGCTCTATAAATAGTACGAGTCGTCTCTTAATTCTAGTAGTCTGCCCTACCTATACCGTCGTAACCTAGGTCGCCTAGCTATTACCTAGGACGTCGTCGCTTATACCTAGCGGTATATTACAGTCCGTAACGCCTATACGCTTCGCGGTAAGGGCTATATATCCGCCCTCTATACTAATAAGGCGCTTACGGATACGAAGGCTACTAATGCGTCGCGTACGGAATAGTACACTTAGCTTATAGGTAGCGGTCGCTACTAGAACGGTACCTATACTGCTAATAAGGGCAAAGGCATACCTCTACTACTCTTTAACCGTTAATGCCTAGTAGACTTTAGCCTAGTCTGCTAGCTAACTTAGATCGATCCGGTATACGCCTTATCTACCTTTATCGCCTATATCTAGACGCTTAAGGACAGCGCTATCCCTAATAGATTAGAGCCCGCGCTAACGCTATAGTTCTATAATTTGCCGAAGACGGTCTCTACCGATCTAGTCTTCGATCCTTTAGGCGTCTAGAAGCGTATTATATAGGGCAATACTATTTTCAAGTACGATAAGATAGTAACGAATAAGAATTACTAGTAGTATAATATCGACTATACTTAGGATCCTATAGGCGCATTCCTAGTACTGTTACCCGACTACTCGCTAGACGAGACCGACCTTACTAACGCGTACCTCTTTAGTAAAATCTTCCCTCCTAAGCTCGCGACTCGGGCTAAGCCGCAACCTCCGGCCGTTACCCCGCTAATTAAGGCGATCTAGCTAAACTCCTTGCGCGTATTACTATCGACTAAGTTAAACACTCGCTAGAAGCTAACCGCTAGCCCGTTCTTAGCGCCTCGCCTATCGTCGAAGATACCGCTACTATCTAACCTATTCTCTACGCCTACGAAGGCTCTAGCTATAGCTTAGCTACTACCGCCTAATAATACGGTTATATAGCTATAGTATAAGCTCCTAGCGCTTCCGATACGCTTGCTACCTTTGCCCGCCCTATAGGAAAACACTATAGGCGCCTACGGACAATACTAATATAATACGATAGCAATTAGTATACATACGCTTAACTTACAAGCTCTCTACTATATACGCTAGTCCGAGTTAGTAGCAACCGAGGTATACTAGCTTTAATAGATGCTAGCTAAGGTATAGATCTGCGAAGCAACTAAGCGCTAGATAGCCTAGTAGTATCGTCTTTCTACTACGGTCTTAAAGGAGTCGCTTACGCTATCGCTAACCTATCTTTACTACGATTTCTTACGCGTCGCGCCGCAATAGGCAATCCCTATACTATACCTAATTAACGAGGACGCTTTTAAGCTACTTAGCGGCGTATAAGGTAATACTACTAAGGATAAGATCGCTAAGCTTAACGTATAGATAGCCGACTACTTTAAGCTATACGGTGCTATACGCGACGCCGATACGCTACTATTACTAGGTACTAACTTCCCTAACATCCCTATCGATTAGTTAGACCGCGCTACTACTATAGCGGACGTAGTTAATACCTCGCTATCTAATAATAAGACTATAAAGACTGTTACGCCTTAGCCGTAGCTAAAGGCGGTTTAGACTATACTAACTAGCTTACGCGACGCCCTTTGTAACCGTCGTAATAAGTAAGTATAAAACCGACGTAGTTATTACTAGAGAGATACGATTCTGCACCTAGTATTACCGTTCTAGTATACTGTTTAGGTTTAGCCTTTATACGACGCTATTACGCTCTTTTTGTCTTAAACCTTCCTATAGTACGGCCTACTAAGGACCTTTGTTTTAGGACACTATAGATAGTGCCGACCTTTTTTGTAGGGAGGGAGGCTATTACGATATAATACTATTGCATATACGATAGTAGGCAGCAGTTACTATCGACCGCTACGGTCGCTATTGCTACTAATAGTAGGACTATTATATAGATAGCTTGCCTCGCGGCACCTTAGAGAATGTATTAACTTTTATACCGTATAACCGTTACGATACCTTCGTACTATAACCGTATACCTAGTAGTAATAGTCTTAATATCTTACGGTATATTAGGAGGCATATATAGAGCTATAGGCTTAAGTATAGTAGTATAGGGGAACTCGGTTAGCTACGATATCGAAGTCGCCTTATTAGCTCGTCGCGTATATATATAGGAATATATAAAGAAATAGAGATAGGGGCTAGGGGTAGATATATACTAGTATTATATTATAGAAAGAAAGGAAGAGAGTATACGCGCAAAGATACGCGTATAGATATCGCGTAACGCTTAGCGTAATAGAAGATCCTAGCGTAATAAAACTTTCGCGTACAGGACGCACCCGCTTTAGCGTCTACGGATCCCTACATCGATAGTTAACTCCGCGTTTAGCGTAGTTAAGCGCACTTGTCTCACACCTTACCGTACTGCACAGTGCCCCCTCTCATACCTAGAGAACGGTCGATCTGCTATCGATATGCAAAAGTCCCATGTAGCACTATGCGTCTGCCTTATCATGGACGCCCGGCAAGGCCGGCCCTCGCCGCAACACCGGCCGGATCGTCTCCGCGAATGCTACAGTACAACGATAAGCCCAGACGTCTCCGTATCTTCACGCTGAAGGAATGGACGCATCAATCGACGCCCTTACCGCCCTTGCAAGGGCCCACACTCTCCTCGTATCCGGCAAATGCTCAGCAGACATTGCAGCAGTCGCACAAACAGGATCAGATCTCGCTTCATGTTCATACCATATGTTGTTGTTGAGGGCGGAGGAGACGGCAAATAATGCACCACTGCTAAACGAGCCACGCCCCGGCTCACCCGTACGCAGGAACTTCTCAGGGCCAAGCGGCTCCGGAGTGACACGACGGAGTTTCGCTTCTCTCATCCTGGCCCTCCTGAAGAATCGATCTGGTCGCTGGCATGGCACATGACACAGCTGCTGCTGAAGCACCAACAAATCTCAAGGCAGGCGATGAATCGATCACTGCAAGTGCTGTTCTGGCAGACAGCCTGAGTGAATCCCCGGAAAAGCAGAGAGAGAGCCCCGAGCATTCTGAAGATGATGAGTGGAAACATCTTCCACGCAAAGCAGACGGCTTGACGATCCCAATCGTCCTTGTTCTTGTCGTCGGCGGGCTGGAGCGAGCTGCTTTCTATGCTGTTACAGCACCATGGCGTATTATTTAGAGATCCGAGAAATCCCGGGACGGCGCTGACCAGCGACAGAGAACTACATGCAGAATCATGCCGATGGGGACCACGTGCCGGGCGCGCTTGGACTGGGACAGTCAAGAGCCACAGCAATCAGTAACACCTACATGGTCTTCTCTTCCTTGACTCCCATACCTCTTGCCATTATAGCAGATCTGTGGCTTGGGAGGTACAAGACCTTGGTGATCAGCCTCAGGTATGTGAGAAGAGTATGACTTTTACATTGGCAAGGTCGCTCATCGATTTTCGTGTCTCAGCCTCGGCGCATCAGGATGTATCGTACAGCTGATCACATCCATTCCTGCTTTGCTCCGATCAGGTGCAGGCCCAGCCGGGCTTGGAATAGCGATGGTGCTTATAGGCATTGGAACCGGCGGTATCAAGTCAGTATTCTCTCCGTTCCTGGGCGATCAATGCTCTCATCACGAATCTCGAGTGGTGGAAAAGCCAGATGGGGCGCGTGAGGTGATTGACTATCGTTTGACGCTGCAATTCATGTACAATGTCTTCTATGGGTATGTTCATGTTCTAAACGACATTACGGTGTGTTGGAGACTGATGACAAACAGAATTACAAACTTCGCATGCCTTTCCATCATCCCTAGCACGTTCCTTGAACGAACCACAGGGTTCTGGGCAGCTTACTTGCTCGCGACTGCGTGCACTTGTACTGGTCTGATACTTCTTCTAGCGACTTCACGTCACCTTGGTGTGTGTATCTCTCTGCCTTGGTAGTCAATTAACTGTTCTGACTGTTGGCAGTTAAGGTTTTGCCTGGCGAGAATATACTCGTGCCAATGTCAAAAGTCCTCTCATGCGCCATGAGAAATGGCTTCGACTTGCGCCGAGCCAAAAGCAGTTATCAGTCAGAACATCATGGTCATGTTCCGTCCTACTCTGATGAATTTGTTGATGAAGTCCGCCAGACACTCCTCACGTGCCGGGTCTTGTAAGCTGTCTGATTCGGCCAAGGCCACAGGGACATGTCATCACGTACATCTACTGACTCATTCTAGATTGTCATTTGCGGTTTTCTACCTCTGCGCAAACCAGATGATCAACAATCTGGTATCGCAAGCGGGGCAAATGGAGCTGTCTGGCGTTCCGAACGACATGATCCCCAGCTTCGCTTCAATTGCATGCATACTGTTCGCTCCAATCCTGCAAGCATTCTGGAGCTCCCTTGCACGTCGAAAGATAACGCTCAGCGCACTTTTCCAGATCGAGCTGTCCTTTGTTCTCTGCGCCATTGCGATTGGATTCGCATCTTTGACTCAACACTTAATCTATCAGTCGCCGCCATGCTATGACCGACCAAGGAAATGCGGCATCACAACAGGTCCAAACAAGATTAGCGTGTGGGTTCAACTGCCGATCTACATCATTGCAGCTCTAGCAGAGACTATTGGATTCGTCATTGCAGGCGAGTATGCATACTCGCATTCGCCGCAGAATGCGAAGAGCATGATACAAGCGTTCTCGCAAGTGGCCGCAGCTTTGGGGAGCATTCTTGGACTCGCCACGAGCCCAGCCGCACGGGATCCATGGCTGGTCATATACTACGCTGCATTGGCGGGTGTTATGCTGATCGCTGCTATCGGATTTTGGTGGCTCTTTGGCAAAGGCTGGAGACGAGACGGCAACGATGAGGCTGAATGAGTCTGCCGAGGACAGCACAGCAGACGGCGAATGTCGGTCTAGTATAACGGACAGGCAGCATGCAACCTTCCAACCGGGGGAAATGGTGATCGACACGAGATCCTACAGTACAGCGTCTTCACGCATCGGAAGGCCATGCATTTCTTCACATCCTGGGCTAGAAAGGGTTTGGGCCAATTAAAAACTCGGCTTCCCTGTTAAGCGTAAAAGTCATGACCCTCCGATGCGTTCAGACGCTGTACAGATGCATTGGCTTTTTGCCTGTTCAACGGAGCCCATTTAAAGTCCCGTAAGAGCGTCAGTGCGTGGATTCCACCAAGAATAGCCTCAGCCTGCCGCAGCGGACTCGGTGAGATCTAGAAGTCCGCTCCGTGGTGTGCGTGACCATAGAAAACGTGATCTCGTCGTCGGCGCGCGTCGCTGTTGCTGGGTCGTACGTTGAACGTGGACATGGCAAAGAAGGTGTATTGTGCGGTTGCTAAATGCTATGCGGACTGCGCGTCGCTCTGCCGCCGAGTCGTCTGTTAATATGAATTTGGGTACCCAAATTCCGTCTGTCCACGCGCTTATCTTGCATAAGAAGGTCGATACAATATCGCCATCATCAGTAGGAGTTAGCATATGCGCAACGGTACGCGAAATGCCGTATTTGTCCTTTACCATAATGGTGTAAAGGTACCAACCAAGATGATTAGTCTTATGCGTCGCGTCCATAAATGCGATCGTGGTATGGGATTTCAGCAGTTCTATGCCAGTTTTGGTCGCCCAAACAACACCACAGGTTGTTTCACCGTCAGTCTGGCGTACTGCTGATATATTGTCGCAAAAGAGCCCTTCTACACTAGTGTGTTAGTGATTGTTATAATGGAAAACCAAAAATCAAAACAAAGGAAGCGCGTCGAATCTGAAGTTTGGGGTTCGGCCTGCCAAGATGCGCTAAAAAGCCGGACCGAGGTGTTGCCGTGGCTTCTAAAATTCTTAATTGGCTCGAAGCTGAGGCTCTGCGGCGCTTCCGCTTTAAGCGAAGAACTTCAAAATTTCGAGATTCTTTGAACTTCCAGCTTTCCGGGCTTTTATTCGTAGGCAATCGAGTCTGATATCTTCCTCGGTGCAGAGGCTGAGTCAGACGAGCTCCGCATCGATCAATTGGTTAATCGGAGTCCGGATCGGCGGGAAGCGTCGGCCCGCTGCGCTTTCTTCAACTTCAGATAGCAACAAGAAATAATACACTCACCTTCTCGACACCACTCAAATAAGTCTTCCTTCTGCTGTTGCCATACTAGCGACGCGCCGCCAAGTTTGCCGTTCCTGTATGCCTTCCGGAAGGCGCGACCTGAGTTACAGACATCGTATTTCTGCATCCATCGACCTCCGGCGGCATTGAACAGCTCATGCGCGACTGGGTCGTGCTCCGCCTTCAGCGCCTTCCATACAGCACTCGGTGTGTAGCCTTGACACACCTGCCGACCGGCGGCAGTTAAGAGAGCGCCGCATCGACGGAACACGTCGAAGTTGTCCAGTTGGCAGTGATCGCTATGGTCGTCGCGATTTATGCGCTGTATCCGATATGCGACAATCTCCTGACCACCGCCACCACCGAGTCCTTCACCATCCTCGTCTAGCGCGATGTCACTCGGACCATAAACAGCGATAACCTTCATCGTTACAGTGCAACACCAAGCGCGCTCTATCTTCTTAGCATCCCTCTTCACGCCGCGGCCCTTCGTCTTATCACTCTTCCAGTGCGGTTGTTTGCGGAAGCGGCATACATAACGCGTCGTTTCTAGGCCGCTCTTCTCGATATGGTCACGGTCCTTCACCCATATATTGTCAATGTATGGCTGAAGCGCGTACCACTGTTTTGCTGACACTTCAATATAGTCATCGAAGCCTGGAAGGATTAGTCGTTCTCGCCACTCGCGGAGGTTGTCGACGTGCGGCAACCACGTGTGTTTATCGCTTAGCTCGACGAGAACTCGAGACTTTCGAGGGCGACGATAATCGGAGGACTCGGACGCGTCTGACGCGTTATCTTCACCAGAATGGACTGATTCGTCCTCCGCCGGCCGTTCTGTCGAGAAGTTAGCGATTCTAAGCCGCCACCGCCGGGCGCAATTTGCACCTATACCGTAGTGTTCCAACGCGAAGTCGCCCCAAGCCTCCGAGGCAAGCACACCACCACTTCCACCATCGCCGACGAGGTCACCAATTGATACAGCATTAGAAGAGATTGAAGGCATGATTTAATTAACAAGGCGCTGTTGGAAGAGATGGAATCTGCTCGTTACAGAGGGCGGAGCGGAGCGACAGCGAGGTCAGTAGGGGTGGTAGGGGTGTAGAAAACAAGAACCCAAACAAACAGGCGCGCCTCGACGCGCCGGAGCGGAAGCGCATACAATCTACACCGACCGCCGCTCTGCAAGGTCTGGAAAGGCTATTCTTGGTGGGTCAGGCGCTCGGATGCTCTTACGGGACTTTAGACGCCTGCGTTCAACGCTGCAGGCTGCTTACTGGCCTCCCTGGACCTGGAATGGCCCGAGGTCCTACCGCTTCCATCCACCACTCACAGCTGCCGATATTCTTCAGTTCGGGACTAGCATGATGTAGGGGCAGCTACATCAAAGGTGACGGCCGCGACTATTCTGTACTTAGTGTGCCATCACAAGGCATTATAGTGAGCGACTGACTTCAAGTGCCGACACTATCATACCGTTAGCCGGGAACCGGGACAAGATGGACGCTGCATTGAGCAATGGTACTGCAACTAAGTGGCGTCCACAAATGCTCGATACAGACGTCTTAGTCATACTGGGCTGCGGTATGAGGAGTGATCAGGCTCGTTGTCAAACTCGTTGACCCGTTTTAGGCGCCCTTGGGACTGCCATCCTCCTCGGCCTTCTCTCAGGCTCGCCGACTTCACCCGCATCAGAGGAACTCGACGGAAACGACAGCAAGGTCAAAATTCCATCGCGGTTCATAGCTTGTGTCCGGTAAGAATCTTGACGCGTGAGAACTGTACACAACGCTGATACACTTAGGCGAAATGCATCGGCCGACGTAGTGAAGCGCAGACTCGGCAATGCAGGGTTGAGCTCATTAAATGCCGTAGACATCAGAGTCTGCGATAATCTCAATGCTGTACGAGAAGCCAACATTGTTCTCATTGCGACGCAGCCGCATCACCTGCGCAACCTACTTGATGAGCCTGGCATGCGGGAAGCTCTCGATGGAAAACTCATCATCAGCGTCCTGGCTGGTGTCACTGTGCACGATATCGAGGTGGCACTCGAACACAGTGGCACAGATCAACATCATATCGTGCGAGTCATGCCCAATATCAACTGCTTTGCTAAGCAATCAACCACAGTAATCGAGCGAGGTTCAGCATCGCAGCACAGTATGGACGTCGCCAGCTCAATTTTCAAAAGAGTTGGTGATGTGTTCTTCACGGAGGCTCTCACTATGGACGCCTGCACAGCCCTTTGCGGATCAACACCGGCTTTCTTCACGGTTGTCCTGGAAGGTCTTATCGAGGGTGCAATTGCTACTGGAATCAAGTCAGATGATGCGTTGAAGATGGCAGCTCATGCTATGATGGGTACTGCATCGCTCATCTTGCAAGGTCGCCAACCAGCAGCTGTGCGGCACGAAGTGATGTCCCCGGGTGGCTCGACCATCCAAGGTGTTTTGGTGTTGGAGGAGAACCGGGCTCGTTGGGCATTCACGCAAGCTTTGCAAGTGGCCAAAGCAGCTGCTTCAAAGCTTGGCCAGAAGAAGGGGGCAAAGTGACGAGCGAGCGATAGGACTGACTTATAGCTCTTGCTCAGAAAGGTCCGACACCATTTAAATTCCAAAGGTTGCTATGAGACCATCGTGATTGTGCTGGAGGACAAACGCTTGGATAGACCACGATCTATGAAGAACCGTGGAGTAGGACAGAGCAGCAAACGACCAGGCCACCCCCAGGCGAGATCGCCGCTCTTCAGGACTTCTTACATACTACATTCCAGATGCACTACATACTCTTCAAGACGTGCCTTATACACTATTGCAGAGAGACGACTTCCTAAACATAGTGAATAGATATTGACTGCGAGAGCCAGATATATCAGCTCCTTCCCCTCCACATCGGAGTACGACTGTGCAATTGATCGCTTAGCTGGACAGCATGGCTTTCCACGCCCAAGGTCTCTATCTTGCCAAAGATTTGCAGCCCACGGGACAAACGTCGAGGAGCACAATGGAAAAAGACCCGTCGTTGACCTCATTCGAAGATAAAAGCAAGCAGCCGAAGAACCTGACTGGCGGCGAGGCCTTGCGAATGCGGGAGAACATTAGCCATTCGATCATTGATGGCGATCAGATAACAAGATGTCATAGACCAGGTTGCTTGCGGTACGTGCGACTCTCGCAGGTCGACGAACATCTCGCGTTCCACGCTGCGTCGGCACAAGCCCATTCTGAGCCTCAAGCTACAAATGGAACTCAGACCGTCACATCAGAAAACGCCGCAAACCATTCGAGAGAGGCCAACGCATCAGCACAGAATGCATCAGCGCTTGGAGAAGAACCTAAACTCGTACATACACAGCCACCCAAGCCTTCTAGCAGCCGGGAACCTTCTAACGAGCCCTCAAATTCTCCAGAGACCACTCCAGAACTTCTCCCGCCACCCAAAACCTGCCTGACCTGCCTAGAGTCTATCCCCCCAGGAAAATCTTATACTCTAACTTGCGGCCATACCTGGTGTCAAACCTGCGTCCGCTTCAAATTCCGCTCTTCAACAAAAGACCTCTCCTCCTGGCCCCCCACATGCTGTAACCCCCAAAACCGTTTCTCGATCCACGTAGCCCGCAAGATCCTCGGTAGCAAACTCGTCAACGAACTCGACGAGCGTAGTGAGGAGCTGAAAGATAAGAAACGAGTGTATTGTTGCGTTCCTGATTGTAGCGCTTACATCGGAGCGAAGAATAAGAGTCAAGATTTGGCGACGTGTGGGAAGTGTGGTGGGCGGATGTGTTTACTTTGCAAGTCGCCGAGACATGAAGGGAAGGGGTGTAGGGAGGATGAAGAGACGAAAGCGTTTCTGGAGCTTGCGGAAAAAGAGAAGTATAAGCAATGTGCGGGTTGTGGGAGTATGACTGAGTTGATGGGTATGTTTCCTCCCTCCCTTTCCTTTTCTTTCTATATCGTGAAACTCTGAATGACACGACTTCCAGATGGTTGTAACCACATCACGTATGTTACCTTTACATACAGATATGAATTGCATTCACTGACGACCGGTTGATCTAGGTGTGATATATGCGGCTACAAGTTCTGCTATATCTGCGGCACAGAAAATTGGCGCTGTAATTGTCCTGTAATCAGCGATCGGAACTTGGATCAGAGAATTTTGGAGGCGAGGGCAAGAGGTGAAGATGTGTGGGGATACCAACAGCAGCGTGGACAGACGAATTCTGGTAATCACGGTGGTGCGGAGGCTGATGTATATGGTCCTGGAGGATTACTGAGGGGTTTTATGGGGCGGTGATGAATGGCTCGCTCTGGATGATGCAGCCTCTCCATTATGATGGTGAGGCAGTGTGGTAATCGACGTTCAGTAGGCCTGGCGTTATACTTCTAACCCCTTACTTTGATGTAGCACCAACCGTATACAGTTCCCACTCCTTTCCTTCCTGTTTTCAAATCAACTTAAACCTGTGAATCAAATTTGCTTCCGATTTGCGGTCAAAGTTGATGCCAGCAAGATTGTGACGTCGGGAGGCTCCTGCAGCGGTACGCTGGCTCATTTGATGGGGAGTCGAGGCTGCTTGAGGCTTCCGTAGGTGAAAATCCGACAGAATATCGACATGCTTCCAGGCAAAACCATCTCATCCGCCTTCGGCTATACTTGACATTGCTGGAATGAAGTATCTCGATGACCCTGTCGGGCCTCTGGACTTCTTGGTCCGAGCCTGCCACACTTTGACCAGAGCTTTTTGGAAGAGGTCTGGTCAGAGAACCCTACCTGATTGAGGTGCCAGCACCCTATGGTCCCGCCGGTAGCGACTTCAGTAAACCGAGGACAGGGTGGATGTTCAATACTGTAGCCAGAGGAACACAGTTCACCTCGATCGTGCCGAACGAGGACACCTCGCTCTCGATCCTGCAAAGCTGTTCTCCGGAATCACTTCGTATCCACCAACGTGCTTCTGACATGGGACCAAGGATACGCTGGCCGCCCTCGACCTGTCCGAAAGAGCATATGAAGAGATGATCCGTGCTGGACACGAGGCTAGACTAGTGTTGGTGGATGATGTGGACTATGGCTTTGATGAGCACGCAAACCCTGGAGAGCCGGAGTTTGAGAAGGTGAAAGCGGCTTCGGGCCTTCTGAAGAAGCACGTCGAGTAATGGAAATAAAGTAGGGCGAAGACTAATAGAAGGAATCAGCAGATGTTGAAAGGACACAGCTTGCGCATTTCGCTAGTATACAATTCAAACCAAGGTCGGCTGGACGAACCGAAGGCGGCTCTAGATTACATGTCTTTGCTCAAATCGCAACTTTTCGATGCTCAAATCGCTGCTGTGGTGGAGTGCTCGGGCGATCGTTGCCCACTCATTCATGCGGCGTATCGATATCGCCGAGTCCTGGTGGTACCGTGCTTAGTGCCATAGAAACGGACGCCGTAGCGGTCAGCGCAGCTCGCGTGTAAATCGTCCAACCTATTCTCGTCAAGGCAAGAAGGCGTCTGTCTCGGTCGAGTGCTACCTATCTTTCGGCTCCCAGACACGACTGTTTCCCACATATCTCAGAGACTGCTCAATCCTGGATCTGCTCCTTCTTCTGATCACATCACGCTCATGAGATGAATTCGCTTGCTCTTTCCTTCAGTTGACCCGCACTTCTGCTTGCGTCCCAGAAGAGTGAAGTGGCTTCCTGTACGTCCGCAGCACTGATGACATTTCCATCGCTACCACGAGCGCGAGCGAGAATGCTTGCCGGCGCCAACAATTGCAACGCGTATCGCAGGGAGACAGTCTCGCCCCGTCTGGTGAGCTCGTCCAGTGCCTCGGGCGAGAGGGATGCCGATACCTTCAGTGCTTGTGGATTGTCGGCAAGCTGAGGAGCAGTTGGTGATGCAAACTCGAGCTTGGCGCGCGTTTGGATGATTCTTCGGATTTCCTGTCCTGTATATGGCTGAGTTGGCACAATAAGAAGGCGTGCCAAGAGATCTGATGGGATTCCGTGAGCGGAGATCAGGCCCGGATCTCCAGAGACAGCAGATGCAGTACCGCGCACCGTTGTCTGTCCTCGGTTTGACGCGAGAATGACGATGGGCGAGATGGTAGATTCGAGAGCGCGATTCAGATAAGTAAAGCATTCGATGTCTAGCATGTGCACTTCATCGATGAAAAGCACGCCAGGCACGAGCTCAGCAATGCCCTGGTCGATGTATTTGTTGACGACCTTGTTGATCTCGCCTCGCAGCTTCTCGGTGATTTCTGTCTTCCGCGGTTTCATGAGCTGACCCATCATGCTCATGACATCTTGACCGCCTTGTGGTCGTGCATTTGCGACATCCAGATCGTGGAGAGTCACGTCTTGCACAATATCCTTCTTCTTGTGCACGTCTCCCTTTGGTACAGGCACATACTCCTCGGCCTCCAAGTCAAATTCAGTAGAGAACGCATCTGATCTGCCCACTCTCTTGACGGCACCAGTGTTGGCTTCAATGTAGATGACATCGCCTAGTCGCACGCGCTCCTTTTGTATCGCTTCGTAGATGCTCGGGTCTAGGCGCAGCTTCTTGGTTCCTTTCGAGCTTCGTAGGGTGATGAGGAGATGTGAAATGGTGCGACCGTATGCGCCAAGTGGGTTCTCGGTCTCTTCTGGCGTAAGCTCAGCGACCTCGCCCTCGTAGACCTCCTTCCGCTCCTGCACTCTGAGTCCAATTGCGCGTCGGAAGTTCTCCATCAGGGCCTCAGTCTTCTTCACTTCAGCGCTGTACACCTCGCTTCCAGTCATGGGGCAGAAAGGCACTTTCGTTCCCAATTCTTGGCTGACCGCAAGTGCTAATGCGGTCTTCCCCGTACCTGGACCTCCTGCCAGTAGCACCGCCTTTCCTGCCATTTTCTTTGCGCGGATCAGATCTACCACGACACCACATGCTTCTCGCGCCGCTGCTTGGCCCACGAATCCCTGACCAGTTGTGTCCGCAGTACCATCTGATCTTAGGCCGAGACCTTTGATGTGGGAGTGTGCTGCTGTTCTGTTCTCGCGCGAGTTGCTCTGCCGTACTTCGCTGATCTGGACTGGCTTGTTTCCTGATTGTGCCGGTGTTGGCGGTGCTGGAGCATTCGCGACGGCTGCACCGTTGGTAGCCATGGTGCAGGCTCAACGGATACCGAGCGTTGTATAGTGCTGATTGGGCGATATGTGATTGCTCCGCTCAAGTGAATGATATTTGGTGGGAGAAGAGTGAAGACGATGAAAGTGCTGGAAGATATTCTGGCCTCTGTCGCGTTGCTGCAGCTCGAAGAACGAGACGCGACGAGCCGTCGGGATGAGCCGCACAAGATAAAATAGCCAATCACATGCAAGATAATCAGCAAGTCAGGGTTCTATGGTTCTATGTTGTTTGAGCCTCACCTTCCCACTTCCGTCATCGTGCACCGAGGGGGATCCATTCTTAATCCTACTGATTTCCAATTGCTAATCCTCCATTCACCACCACCACCACTACCGGCTGCTTCTTGGACACCTGCTAGACTCTCCTCTAGCACCATATCTCCCACCATGGCCACATTGCGGACCGCCACTCCATCAATATCAACCATCTTCCGCTTCTCCGCCCAGCCCCCAGCAACACGACGATGCGCGCACTGCCTCAAAGCACAACGATGTCCATTCTCCTCCTTCCGACCCAGAGCAGCGTCGTCTAAGAGGCCTCTTATGACCGAGTCAGCACATCGTCCGCAAACATTAGAACCTGAAATGCCGCCACCCAGGAATAGTGGCACGCCGGAAACGAGCATAACCAAGAGCCACTCGCAGACTTGGCCACCTACGTCTCCCTGGCAGAGAAAAGATGCGAAGCCTGATGCAGCATTAGTGGAAGCGGAGGCACAGAAAAGCAAGGCTACGGCGGCATCGACATCACAATTCTCGACTGCAAAGCCATCGACGACTCCGGAAACTGCCGCCAAGCCCAGAAAAAGCAAGCTGAGGCCGAGAAAGGCGCCCATCACATTAAGTCCGAAAGCGGTGGAACAACTGAAGGAACTCTTTGAACAGCCCGAAAGCAAGCTCATTCGGATAGGCGTTAAGAACCGAGGCTGCAGTGGACTAGCGTATCATTTGGAGTATGTGGATAAACCTGGAGCATTCGATGAGATGGTGGAGCAGGACGGCGTCAAGGTTTTGATTGACAGCAAGGCATTATTCAGCATCATCGGAAGCGAGATGGACTGGTTGGAGGATAAGTTGAGTGCCAGGTTTATTTTCAAGAATCCCAACATCAGTGAGTATAGCCGAGGGAGAAATTGTCGCTCGGAACGCGTGCTAATACCCTTCACAGCGGAACAATGTGGGTGTGGCGAATCATTTAGCATTTCATGAGAAGCTTCAAGCGGCATCGAAACGACTTTGTACAGTGGCATAGCGTTACATATTGCAGGCGCTCAAGCGCAAGGCGACCCGGTACATTGTACATACGGCGACAATATCATCGTGTCCGCCATTCTGTCCACGGCGACTCTGCCATCAACTACCATCTATCATCTTCCATGCCGATTACTCAGCACTTCCGTGTTCGTCATTACCTACGCTCTGCCCGAACTCATTTCCCATCGTTCATCATCATCATTCATTTCACTCCCCCACTTCCCTCCAATCTCATCTCATCTACCCCCAACCTCACCTCAGAACTTCCCCGGCTCAAAATCCACAACCCTAACATTCACAACAATCCCCTCCAAACTCTTAACCTATATAAATCAATCAGCCCTACTCCCCATCTCTCCCCACTCACTCACAAATTCCAAATGCACCGGATCCCTCTCCAAATAAAACTCCCTATCCTCCTCATTTTGAAATTCACTCACAAACCCATGCGAGAATCCTCCCTAGCTGCAGCATTAGCAAAGCCAGATCCTTCTTCAAATAGGTACAAATCAACCACTTGTAATCCTTCCGGACTCGTGTCCTTTCCACCTCCGTAGGATTTTACGTAGGGGAGATTTGAGGTTGGGTGGAGGCAGGTTTGGGAGAGGGAGAGCATGCGGGTGCAGATCTGGGGGAGGGGAGGGTTAGTGAGTGATGTTTTTTTTTATATAAGGGAGGTTGGGTGGAGAATAGAATACGTCTTTGATTTGGATGTCGGTTGCTGTGGGGGAGAATTCGAAGAGGACGATGTGGAGGATTGGCATTTTGAAAGACTGAGTGGGTGATGTGATGATCTTCTATCAGATGGGAGAGGGATTGAGAGGTTGTGGATTGATGTTGATGTATGTCACTGGGACCGAATGTGAAGGTGAGGCAGTCTCCGCAACATTCAATCGTGTGGTTGAATGAGTAAATATAGGCCGGTTGACTGAGTAGATAGCGCTTAAATGAGATTGAATAGCGAGCGACTAGCGTATAATTGAATAAATAGATAGGCTATTGCATGTAATAACGCATAGTTAAGGTTAATTAACTAAATAATTAGGCTAGCGCAAATAAGTAAATACTAGCTATTTAACCTCGCCGTTACTATTACGTCTACTGCTACTGCTGCTACTATCGTCGTCCGCTATTAACTAGGTTACCTATCTATTAGCAAGGCCTCGAATAAGCCAATTCTTTAGACACTAGTCGGCCTTAATTAACTATATAGTAAGATAGTATCTATAGTCCGTAACTATTAATTTGCTATAGCTAAAGACTCGCTCGCATTCTAAGCTTATTGCTAGAATAGCAAACAGCGTAAACGCTAGCTATACGAGTGTTAGATATAGCCCTTCGCTACGGTCTCGCTACTAGTCTAGCGGCCGAGTATTATAGAAGTTATTGTCTAGCGAGGTGCCGATATACTTATAAGTTGTTAAGTCGTTACTTAGATAGCGCTCTAGCTCGTTTTCTATCGCCTATCGCCTCTTACTATTGCCTTTAGAAGTAAAGTCGGCGAAGGCGTCTTCGAAGAAGTCGAGGTCGTTATCTTACCGGCGGCAATCGCGCTCGTTATTACGGAGCTCTTAAGGTAATACAAACTAGTAAGAAGGCTTATCTTCTAGCTATAGAAGTAAGGTAACAAAGTCCGTATACAAGTCTACGACTGCTTGCTTTGCCTTAGCAATCTCCTTAGCGGCCGTCTTCTTATTACTATTCTCGTTAGTCGCATCTTTGCTATACTTAAAGCCTACCTGTCTCTTTTTAAAGAAGTCGTGTTTCTTTATAGAGTAAAGGATAACGGCGCTACGTAGAAGGCGGCTAGAATTAAGGTCGTTATAGAGCTGTTCTATACGCAAGAAGCCTACGTTAACCTTAGCTCTATAACTACTAAAATTTAGTATAAGGCGCTAAGAATAGCAAGAACAAGTACTTATATATCGCTAAAGTCGTTACGGTCGATACTATAGGCTTCTTCTTGCCGCCGAGTAAGCGATTAATACAGCGTATCTAATATAGGGTAAATCTCCTATAGAGCGCTAAATAAGCCGTATATTGCGTTGCCTTTAATCCGCTTCGTAGCTTCGAGGAAGGGGATTAATAGTCGCTCGTACTGCTATAATTCTTTCTAGTTAGAGTTAGTTAGATAGTCTTAAGCGAGGTTGTAGCTACTATTAGGTTTCTAGAGACGGCAGAAGCGTTAAATAACCGGCTTTAACTTTAAAGCGCGTTATATTATCTAGAGGGTTGAATTCTATCGTATATCGCTATCTTTAATAAGGCGAAGAAGGACGTTGTTAGCTTCTAACTCTAGGTTAGCTAAGTTCTTCTAATACCGTACAAATAGCGCCGAGCGCTTTAGTAACCGAGTAATATATTTAACGGTATTATAAAGCCGTCTAATATTGCCTACCTTCTCGCGCTAGAGCCGGAAACTATCGTCGTCGCTCGTACGTTAGAGTTGTTTCTTCTATTAACCTATTCCTTTACTAAATAGCATTACGCGGACAATAAGATTAATACTATAACCTATATATCTATAGCGAGCGTCTGCTTCGTAGAGTAGTATACCGAGAGCGATAAGCTTAGCAATAGTTATATCGTTATTAGTTGCGTTGTCCGTTTGAAACGCGGCAATTCTATCCTTAATCTCGTATTCTTAAAGGACTTCGTAAAGGACTAGAGCAATAACAACGCTATAGTAGCTTAGAAGCGGTCGAAGGGCGATAAGAGCGACTTAAAGTTGCCTATTCTCGTCAATCTAGTATACTATAATAGCTAGCAACGATAGATTATTAGGTATTGTCTAGATATTAAAGGAGATACTAATCTTCGAGACAGCCTTCTAAATAGTAGCCTTTACGTCCGGTTTACGCTCCTTATAAGTACGGAAGAGCTAGTTACGTATAGTACGCGGACAAGGCAAGAGATCTTTAACTAATAGACTACTAGTTAATATTATCTTATATAGCTCTTTAGAAGCGGCGTCTTCGAAGGAGATATCGCGTCTTGCTATCTAGTTTATAAAGTCTTAAATCTACTAAGCGGCGTACTCTAGCGGAAGCTAGTCGTAGCTATTATTCTTCGGATAGTTGTCTTGTTTATCTATAATCTTCTTCGCTCTACGTTTACTTAGAGGTTCGTAGCCGTAGTAGACAATATAGTACCTTACCGGAGTACCTATAGAAGCTACGCTCTATACCTATTTATCGGCGTTGTTAAGATAGCATTGTTAACAGAGCTAGAAACGACCCTTATACTTCTGCTTCTTTAGATACTACTTTGCAAGCTCTATGCCGTGTTTAAATACCTATAATATACGTTTACCGATATAGTGTTTAGTACGTATACGTAGTCGAAACTAGCCTAGTAGGCGGTCGTAAACTATATTAAAGTTAACGCGTTAAGAAGCTATAATAAAGCTGCCTTCGTCTCGTTCTATAGCAGAAGAAGTTATAGTCGTAGACTCGGTCTCGTTGTCTCCGCCGCTTTCGCTATCGCTCGATAGATCGATAGGGTTTTCTACTATCTCGGTACTTCGTATCTGTCGCTATAGTTGTTATATAGGGCGAAGCTATAAGGTCTAGGTTGCTAGAGGTATTTATTAGCTAAAGGCAAGAGTACCTTATAAAAGACGTGTTTTCTTTCGTAACGGCCCTATATCGCCGTCCGCCGGGGAAACCGTAGCAGGTCGTTTTCCTAATAACTTCGGAGGCATATTGAAAAATTTTCTAGATGCGTAGATAGTATATAAAAAATAATAGTGTACGTTAAATGGTAGTGTTTTAGTTAGGAGTTACGAATTCGGAGGTTTAAGCGGAGATTTTAGATATACAGCTACATTAGATTTACTTTAAACCGCGCTTAATCTACGTATATCTATATACGGAAAGCTTAATATACACTCTTTCTACACGTGTCGGAAAATCGGCTGTATTTTTAAACTTAAACTTCTATACTAACTTCTATAGCTTCTGCTACCTTATAATCGACAACCTAACCTAGTATTATACTATTTATAGCGCTAGCATCGATAGTTATACGGCCAAATCAATCTATGTATCTTAGGCGTAGCTTTAAGTATTTCTAGCCTTTCCTCCGGACTTCTACTATTATCTGAACCGTATAGAAACATCCGGAATTGGAGGTCTAACGGCTTCTTGCTTATACGAATATATAGTTTATAATACCTCTTCTTTAGATACTACATTCTCTTATTTAAGGACTAGCGCTTATATAACCCCTTCCTCTTAGCCTACGCGGCTATATCTTTGCTACTAGAAGTAGCCTAGTATTGTAGCACTTCTAATAAGCTATTAGCCTGCTTTATCGGCTTTGCTAGACTAGCCTCGAGAACGATAGGGTTCTATTACACTACTATTATTCTATATACTTAGATTAATAAATATACTTTATAATACTAACCTCTCGAGATCCGGAAGCTATACTATGCTATTAGAGGTATAGTTGTCGAGAAAGAATGCCTCGTAGTATAGGTATAAAGCTAGACCTATAAAGCCGGAAATTAGCTTCTCGGAAGAGGCCTTATCTACTACTATATATAGCGATCTATATATCTCGGAGCTATAGAATACCGCTAGATATTGTATTACACTGTCTACTTAACCTATAGATCACTGTAGCTCTTAACCCTTAGTGTATACTATAGGGTTATCGAGGACAATAACGAGGCGGACTAACTTTACCTAATAGGCTCTAAATTCTTTATATAATTAACTAATTGAATAACGAGATTATTACGCGGTTGCATAAGCTAGAAGGAGCATAATTAATTGAATGAAGACGTTGTTACTCATTCATATGCTTATGTAATTATTCATATAATTGAATGTTGCGGAGACTAAGGTGAGGTAATGTTAAGCTTTAGGTAGGGGGGCACTTTAGTTCATCTTTCTTCTACGAACGCACGACATCAACACGACATTACATTGTATAAGTTATTGCCAGAATTCAGAGAGCTTAGACATTTCAAGAACAGAGACTTCATTCAATTACGGAATGTAATAACCGAGAGCGTATTTCAACATCGAAGAGCGTAACGCGCCTCGAGAAGAAAAAAAAACATGACTGAGAGTCTAAGGGATAGCAATTGAGATACGAAGCACAACTAGTAGCGTAGATACAGCGAGATAATCGGACTACTACCGGACACGAGGCAAGCACAGCATTCTAATTTCACCTCGAGAGCTTCGGTCCTATGCTTATAGCAGTAGGCGAACGTGTAAGCGCTCTCTCTATTGTGAATCGTGCTAGGGATGCAACTAATCATCGGATTAACAACTATATAACTATACAAAGAAGGATTAGGAGCCTACTATAGAGACTGCAGTTAATATACCTATTGTGTATCCTTCCTCTTAGTATAGGTTAGCTAATAGTATCAGCTGACTAGCATATTACCTAACTAAACTACAACACTCCCCCTTAGGCAGAGATAATATGCTATTTAGATTAGACACTCTAAATCTAGGCTTAGAGCTTCACTTCATTTTCTGACTGCCTTTAGATATTAGACTATATCTGCTTTATATATAGCTTTATATACTATGCTACTTGCACGTGCTTATGTTATATTGTTTGCTAATTAGTTTGCTTTAGAGTGATATCCTTAGTCGTAATTGCAGGGTTAGCAGGCGCCTATAAAAGACACTTAAACTTAACTAGACAACTTGAACTTTTACAATCCACTCTTTAGCAATCCCCTAAGTACTAGCAGCCTCTACTAGAATTTAAATTCTTACTAAAACTTTTCAAGTCT